AGTAGCTGGGATTACAGGAATGCACCACCACATGCCTGGCTAATTTTTGTATTTTTTTAGTAGAGACGGGACTTCACCATGTTGGCCAGTTTGGTCTCAAACTCCTGTTCTCCTGTGATCCACCTGCCTCAGCCTCTCAAAGTGCTGTGGCATTATAGGCCTGAGCCACCCCCACGGCCTTGACTGAATACTTGAGCAACCAAATCAGAAGACAGGGTTTGGTCCCATGTAAATAAGCAATTAGTTTTTGACCTTAGACAATTCACTTAATGTCTTTGTGAATCATTTTCTTTTCTTTTCTTTTCTTTTTTGGAAAACAGAAATAAAAACGTCTACTCAGTTCATTTCACAGTATTATAATGAAAACCAACAAAATTAATATGTGAAAATAATTGGGTAGCATATTACTATAAAAATGCTTTATTACCGAGTCTTGTAGCAAGCTGGGAATATTCCTTCCATATTAGGAATACTATTGTGATGTTTTTAGTAATGTTGGCTCTTGTGTTGAGATAGATCTTTCCCTTAGTAAACTGGAGAAAAGAGGAGAGTAGTGTTTCACAGCTTGATTAGTTATAGTTGACTGGGGAAAAAAATGTGGTAGGGAATGCAGCCTTCAAAAACAGAAAGAAAGAAAAATGGTAAACCACCTGTGCATAATTCATCCCTTCTTCCCTCCCCTGCCACCGTCTCTGCTCTGTACTCTCTCAGCCCTGTAATTTATTCCTCTTTACAGCTTCTAGTTAGCTCTCTAACTCCAAAACACACTGATCCCATTTCCCCTTTCCCTTACATCTGAGGGAGAAGCTAGTACCTTGCGTCCTGAAGACCTCTGACACAAGTCTGGAATGCTCTTTTCTGCTCTATGGCCCTAAGAAGGGGAGGACTCACCTGCAGTGAGCTGCTCCCCTCCCCACCTAAATAGTCATTCCTCTGTGTTGGGCTTGAATGTGGGTCTTGCTAGCACCCACATTGTCACATTGTGAGCTGTTTCCAGTCAGGTCTTCCTCCTGTTATATGTGCACACACCTGTTGGGAACTGAATCTTGAGTTGCATTAATTGTGCATCTAACTGTTGTCTGGGATCAAGCCATTCTGCAAACTTCTTGAGAGAGTCTCTCCCTCAGTTGTCTTTATCTTTTCACAGGTAATTAGGAATGTTGGGGCTGAAAAGAACCTCTGCTGCTGACTGACAGCCCAGAATTGAATTAACACAAGCCTTAAGTCAGACCAAAGTGTGCGAATCAGAGCTGTAAACTGCTTCACACAGTCTGAGCAGGTCCTGACAGCACATTAATATTATTTGCAGCCTGCAAAGAGCACAAAGTGTTATTTTCCTATGCAGCAGCCCTCCCAGATATTGTATGGGACAACATTTATAAGGAGAACAATTCAGTGACTCATGTGGGTGCTAACTTAAAATCTATATATTGTTTCAGCAGAACTGATTTTATGATAGATATTTGAAGCATCATCAATCTATCTAAAATGAAAAATGGTAGCAGAAATGGAAGCAGAGGCTTGATTATTCACACTTTATGTTAGAAAAAAAGAAAACACCTACTAAGTTAGATAAAAGTCATGCAACATAAATACAAGATAAATTTTCCACCAAATACCATTATTATTTTAAAAATTCAGTAAAACAGAAACAAAAAGTCATGTTGGAACTGGAAGCCTGTGTATTTCAAACAATAATTGGTCCCCAAATAGTAAGTGTAATTTTAACAATCCAGTTTTCACTAATTTTTTATTTCCTGAAAGTAACTTTGATTTGTATATCTTTTTGTCTTTCTTTCTGAATACATAATTATTGTCATTTTCCTTGGTTGAGAATATGCTGCTATCGTGATTCATAAAAACTTAGAAAAAGAAGTATGTTTTTAATGTTGAAATGATGAAAGAGTGATTGTAAAAGATAAGAATCATTCTGAGAAAGTAACAAGACAGTAAAGTGAAGCTCTAATTGCTGTTTGATGTATGAAATTTCTGGCAGATCATATACTTTCGTATTTTCCCAAACAGAAGAATGCCTCCACAGCCAGCTGTTTAACCACAGGGTAGTATCAGTGATTATGTGACCCCTGACTTGTGAGGACTCCTCTTTGCTTCATAAGAAGAACAGAAGAAATTTATCAAAGAAGCAAGTAAGGGCCACAGGAGAATAAGACACTGGATGGCAAGAGACCTGGGTCTGGTCATGGCTTTGTCATGTGATCTAAGTCACTTATCTTGCTGGACTTTCCTTTTCTCATCAGTGAGATAAAACAATGAACAACTCTAATCTTCCTTTCTCACTTCCTGTGCCTCTAAATAGATTAAATAGCCCCCATTGGACATACTATTTCAGATACATGGGGGAAAATACCTTAAGACTTAATGGGAAGAAGCATAGAAATGTACACAAGTGGGCAAAATGGATCATACATTCTTTCATCCAATAGAGCTTGTTATGTGACTGACACTCTCATCACCCTGGCAATACAGTGGTGGCCAGTGCTGATTCATGTGGCCATACAGGTTGAGCAATTACGTTGCTCGAGAGGATGCTATTCACATTATATTGTAAGATAATGACAATCTTTGGAGTTGAGCAGTATGCAATCTGTGCAGCTCTTCATGGTAGCCTTGACGGTAATCCAAACAGAGCACTATCTTCCTTCATGGAGCTTTTGGTCTACTAAGGTAGAAGACAGTAGATAAACAGTCATTCCAATAAGCAAATGTAACTAGTCTGATGAGTCTTATTGTGGTTGCCCTTATTACCACACAAGAGCTAGGCCTCATGTAGGCTGGTCCACTGCTGCATAATTGCTAGAATGCAACATGCCTGGCCCCAACTGTACTGGGTCTGTGCTTGGGCTCCATAATTAGGGAGCACATTAATTCACACCTATGACTCCAGCCGTAATGCTCAGCTGCTCTCCAGAGCACAACCACTGCTAGAGTTAGTATATGGACTCAAAGGGCTGCTGGCCTCAGGCCATATGCTGTTCTGGAATCAGCCTTCCCTCTGGGGGCATTAGGCTATGGGTGGTACACAGATTACCTCCTGACAAATTTGTCTTTCCCTTTCTTTTACTTTTTAATTTATTTATTTTGAGACAGTGCCTTGCTCTATCACCCAGGCTGCAGTAGAGTGGTGCGATCATAATTCACTGCAGCTCGAGTGATCCTCCAGCCTCAGCCTCTGAGTAGTAGTACTATTAGGTGTGCACCACCATACCCAATTTTTTCCTTTCAATAAGTTTTCTTTTAAGGTTTTTATGTCTTTTCCCCGTAGTGAATGTGGCCAAATACACTCTGCTTCATGTTTCTTGGCTTCAGATCTTGAGAGAAGAAGTTCAGTGTCTTGGTCTCTTCTTTCACAGAAGGCGCTGAGCCCCTTAAGTACCATCGACCTCTTCCCAAGTGACCGGCGTTGTGTGGGTTTTCCTTTGTTATGCCACACAATTTGCACTATGTAAAGCTAACGATTCAAAATTTACCAAAATAAGTAATTCTTCTCAATCTTCTGCTCCAATGTAATTTGCTCTGCCCACTTGACCAGAGAAGTGCAGATGGATGCTGGCATACCTTTTTATACATCAAAAATGAGCACTATGAAGGCAAGAGAAAGGTGCTTTGGGAGAGTGTCAAAGGTCTCCTGTTGATACATTGGGGTTAGGGAGGGCATCTCTGAAAAAGGGTCATTTATGATAAGTCTTAAAAGATAAGACTTCACACACCAGGGTCTGTTGGGGGATGGAGAACTAGGGGAGGGATAGCGGGGGTGGGGGATTGGGGAGGGATAACATTAGGAGAAACACCTAATGTAGGTGACAGGGGGTTGGGGGCAGCAAACCACTATGGCATGTGTATACTTATGTAACAACCCTGCAAGATCTGCACATGTACCCTAGAACTTTCAAGGAAGAAAGAGCAGGATGTGAAGGTATCAGTGTAAGAATACACTGGAAGCATTGGAGAAATTGAAAGAAGGCAAGATGGATGGATTAGAGTGAATAAAAGGGAGAGTGCCTGCAAGGCCAGGTGGAGAGGTAGGCAGGGCCAGGTAATTCATAACATTGTCGTTTTTGCTTGTGAGTTTAGATTTCTACCACAAGTACAATGGAAAACAACTAAACGCTTTAGGGGAGTGATTTGATCTGCTTTATGTTTTAACAGACCACTCGAGGTTGCCTAATGGATTAGATGGGTGGAGCATCAGAGCCCTCCAGGACTGGGGGCAGATGGAGATGTAGAGACATTAATAAAAAGAAAAACTTTTTTTCTCAAATGTTGCTTTAAAAAAAAGAGTGGGAAGTAGCTTGGCTTAAAATTGGTGGGAGAGGGGAAGTGGCAGTGGGTCTGTACAGATGATACACCATGGAAAACATTGAACTGTGCTGGGAATGGTAAGCAGGTCTGTTTTTGTAGAATTACATTTGAGAATGTCAAGAAATACAGATTCAGTAAAATAGAGACTGAAGGAAGAGGGAGAAACACCTAAGAATATTGCTTAAGTTTAGGAATGAGAATTTGTATTTCATTTTGGGCAAGTTGTATTGATTTTCTGTACTGTCCTATATTTGTAAAACAAGATAGTGGGCATTATAAAATATGAATTCACAAAGGTCATTTAGGAAAACAACTCATCTAATAGTTGATGTCTTTCTAGAATATTCTTAGTGAAATTGTTTCAGCTGTGTTTGTTTCCACTTTACTGAACACTCTCACTAGTAGGAAATTTTGTGGCAGGCTGTTTCTCGCACATACTTTTCTTTATTTTTTGCAATAACTCTATGAAATAGGCATTCTTGTCTCCAAAGTTATAGATAATGAGAAAACTAAAGCTGAGAGGATGAGTGATTCCTCTAGGTAGCAGAGCTATTAAGTGAAGTGAACAGGCTGGGATTGACAGGCCAAGCTGTTCCCTACATGCCATGATGCCTTAGAATACCCCATTCCGAGAAAGCAGGCGAGCCCGGGCGGCACGGGGCCTTGTGGGAGGGCTTAAGGAAGTAAGGTGGCAGACCTGGCGAACGAAGAAAAGCCTGCCATTGCTCCGCCCGTCTTTGTGTTTCAGAAGGATAAAGGACAAAAGAGGTCAGCTGGCAGCTCCAGTCCTGGAGGCGGAGAAGATTTTGATCAAGAAGATGGAAATTACTGGCCTCCTGTGAAGCGAGAAAGAACGTTCTCTTTAACCCAGTTCCCACCCTCACAGTCAGTATGAAAAATGATATTATGATGCCATGAAGCTCCTGCAAGCCATCTGCAGGCAACTCAGACTCTGAGCCAGAGGAAAGGAGCAGTGGCTTCCGGTTGAAGCCGCCAAGGCTGGTCCGTAGCCAGGCCCCCAGCACAGGTCTGCCCAGCCATCTGCAGGCAATTCCAACTCCGAGCCAGAGGAAAGGAGCAGTGGCTTCGGGTTGAAGCCGCCAAGGCTGGTCCATGGCCAGGCCCCCAGTGCAGGTCTGCCCAGCCATCTGCAGGCAATTCCGACTCCGAGCCAGAGGAGAGGAGCAGTGGCTTCGGGTGAAGCCACCAAGGCTGGTCCACGGCCAGGCCCCCAGCCAGGTCTGCCCAGCCATCTGCAGGCAATTCCGACTCCGAGCCAGAGGAGAGGAGCAGTGGATTTGGGTGAAGCCGCCGACGCTGATCCACGGCCAGGCCCCCAGCCAGGTCTGCCCAGCCATCTGCAGGCAATTCCGACTCCGAGCCAGAGGAGAGGAGCAGTGGATTTGGGTGAAGCCGCCGACGCTGATCCACGGCCAGGCCCCCAGCCAGGTCTGCCAAGCCAGGAGCCCAGGGAAAAGCAGCGGAGCATGCTTCGTACGGCAGTGATCAGGCCCCCAGCAGTGGCACCAATGGGGTCAGCCTCCCAGCCGACTGCACGGAGCAGCATCCCCTGACAACCCTGCACGGAAGAGTCCTTCCCAAGCTGCCAACGAGGTGTGTGCACTTGAGGAGAAAGAGCCCCAGAAAAATGAGTCCAGCGATGCCTCTGAAGAGGAAGCCTGTGAGAAAAAAGACCCCACCACACTACAAGCGTTTGTACTTGGGCAGAACTTGAGGGACGGAGTTAAGCTGATCAATGAGAGTGCGGACAAAGCCGACATGGAGAGTGCTGGACACCCCAGTGCAGACACGCCAGCCGGACAAACTATTTCCTTCAGCGTATCAGTTCCAGTTTAGAGAACTCAACCAATAGTGCCGATGCCTCCAGCAACAAACTCGTATTTGGCCAGAATTTGAGTGAGCGAGTTTTGAGCTTTCCAAAATTAAATGAGGTCAGTTCAGATGCCAGTAGGGAAAATGCAGCTGCCAACGCGGGGTCCACGTCCTCATCCCAAGAGGCCACCCCCGAGAAGGAGTCCCTGGCCAAGTCGGCAGCTGTTGGAAAAAAGTGGAAGTCATCACGGGGAGGAGGCGGAGAGCAACGTGTTACAGATGCAGTGCAAGCTCTTCGTCTTTGACAAGGCCTCACAGTCCTGGGTGGAGAGAGGCCGGGGGCTGCTCAGACTCAATGACATGGCGTCCACTGACGATGGCACGCTACAGTCCCGACTAGTAATGCGGACCCAGGGGAGCCTGCGACTGATCCTCAACACCAAGCTGTGGGCCCAGATGCAGATCGACAAGGCCAGCGAGAAGAGCATCCGCATCATGGCCATGGACACCGAGGACCAGGGCGGGAAGGTCTTCCTGATCTCGGCCAGCTCCAAGGACACAGGTCAGCTGTATGCAGCCCTGCAGCACCGCATCCTGGCCTTAGGCAGCCGCGGGGAGTGGGAGCAGGTGGCCAAGATGCCCGCCCCGGAGCCTGGAGCAGCCCCATCCAACGAGGAGGATGACAGTGACGGACGATGTCCTGGCTCCTTCAGGGGCAACTGCAGCCGGTGCTAATGACGAAGGGGATGGGCAGACGACTGGGAGCACATAGCGGCCGGGAGCCCAGCTGCACACCAGGCTGCTGCTTTGTCCGTCTATCCGCCTGCCCACCCGCCCCAACCCCACAGGCAGCTTCCAGGTGCCCGGCTGGGAAACACACACCCCGCTGGGCCGGCCACAGTCTGGACCCGCGTGTCCTGTTCAAAAGCAGACTCAGAAACTGCCTGAATGTGTTTTGGGACATGAGACCTCATCATACTGATGGGCGAAACAAACAAGAACATTTCCTCCCTCTTCTCCTTTCAATTGAAATGGCACATTAAGACTCGTCACAGCCTCTCACTGGGACTGGAGACCTCCTTCCTTCACCCTGTGTATCCAGCCAGAGCCCCTGGCTTTGCCCCGCCCACACCCTTTTCTCCCTGCTGTGGCGCCTAGCCCTTGTGGGGAGCAGCTGGCCCTTGGCCTTCCTGGGACCCCTGCCCAGCCTGGGGAGCTGCCCACAGGAGTGTAGACACTGGGCCTGTTGGACGTGCTGTTAACCACTATCTTCATTGCCCATTTCCCCCTTTCTGTTTGGTGGGGTGTGTATTTTACATCTTTTTTCCTTTTGATTTTCAAAGGCTTTGTTTTGGTTCCTTAGGTTAAGATGCTCTCCAGCGTTGAGCAGGCACAGCTCTGTCGAGGTGTCTGTCCCTCACCTGTGGTTCTGGCCTCTGAGGTGGGGGCAGGGACCCCACTTCTTTCCCACCCCAGGTTCCTCCAGGCTGAGTCAGGGGGTACTGAGGAATTGGGGCCCTGTCTGACCTAGGCCTGGAGAGTGCCTATCTGGGAAAAGGTCACTGGACCTGAAAGGGTTCCCAGGGTTCCCTGCCCGCCCCCAATCCCTGTCTGTCATGTGGTTCAGTGTCATCAGGCACCAGGCACAAACTGCTTCCCGCCATCCCTCTCCAGCCACAGGCATCACTGCCCCCAGGACTGTCCAGGGCCAGGGGCCTCTGTGAGAGCCAGAGGAGGACCCTCGCCAGGTCTTGGTGGAGGAGCTTGGGGGCTGGTTCCAGAACAGGTGGTCTCACAAGCATGCAGCACACTGGAGTGGACGCCTGTGCCCACCTGACTGGAGTGTGGCCAAGAGCCAGCTGGCACCACCTACCTGGGGAGGCAGAGGAGGAGGTCCTCTGGGCACAGGGCCTCTTCAGGACCTCAGAGGAAATCTCCGAGCCCCACTGTCAGAGGGTTAAGAGAAGGCCACCTTCTGCAGCTGTGCCGCCCACTCCTCTAGGTGGCCAGAGCCCTGGCCCACAGCCCCCAGCAAGCCTGAGCCAGGGAAGAACCAGAGGCCCTCCCGAGAGATGCAGTCACACATCTCTGCTTTAAGCCTTAGCCAGCTAGTGACGAGTACAACCAGATAACGCCCATGTGTTTTGGAACAGTAAGATTGTCATATGAAATGTATGTGGGAACTACATTAATCTTTTCCTAAAAAAAAAAAAAAAGAATACCCCATTCATCTTGAGCTGTTCTTTCTTTTTTTAAAAATACATATTTTATTGCATTTTAGATTTCAGGGTACATGTGAAATACATGCAAGATTGTTACATAGGTGCATACATGGCAATGTGGTTTGCTGCCTTCTTCCCCAGCTGTTTTTTCTATTGGAAAAATATCACTTCCCTTGTATTGACTGAGTCAGAATCTGTCCTCCCTTTTGCTTCCACCCTTCAGTGCTAATACAAGCTTTTGGATTAGTTAAAACCATACTAAATTTATTTCTATTTTACTTTTTTAATCACAAAGATTATATTTTTCACTGAAACTTAGTCACTGCATACATACTTTATTGCACGAGTTATAAGTGGATCAACAATGATATTAGCAATGTAAGTTCATGTGCATTTACATGCAACAGCTGCCCTAGATTCCGGTGCGGCACTTTACTTTGTAATATGGCAAACATAAAGGGACTTTGCTACTTCAGTTCATGTGAACAAAAAATTATATATATCATCTTATAAAATATCTGTTATGTCAAACCCAGGGGAAAAAAATGACAAAAGGAACACACACACACACACACACACACACACACACACACACACACACATTTATTTATTTATTTATTTTTATGATACTTTAGGTCCTGGGGCACATGTGCAGATCATGCAGGGTTGTTGCATAAGTACATACATGGCAATGTGGTTTGCTGCCTCCATCCCCCCGTCACCTATATCTGGCATTTTTTTCTATGTTATCCCTCCCCAACCTCCCTACCCCCTGCTGTCCCTCCCTTAGTCCCCCCAACAGACCCCAGTGTGTGATGCATCCCTCCCTGTGTCCATGTATTCTCATTGTTCAATACCCACCTATGAGTGAGGATGTGTGCCGTTTGATTTTCTGTTCTTGTGTCAGTTTGCTTAATGATGGTTTCCAGATTCATCCATGTCCCTACAAAGGACATGAACTTATTAAAAGAAAATGTAGTGATAAAAATGTTAGATTAGTTTCATGTTCTTAGGGAACTAGCATTCTAAGAAGGAGAGAGGCAATAAACAAATAGACTAGAAGTCAGATTGTGATAAATACCATTAAGAAAATAAAGCAGTGTACCAGAATAACCCAGAAGCATCCTTCTGGCAGCGATGTGGGGCTCAGTTGCAGAAAGGCACTAATGGGAGTAGGGAGATCAGGTAGAAGGCTGTTGAAGTCATCTAGGTAAGAGGTGGTGACAACTGGGATTGGAGTGGAGAAGTGCACATATTCACATGGTGTTTTGGGGACAGAGTTTACCAGGCATTCTGGAATTTATTTGGTTACTGTCCTATGGCTCTGACAAGAAATAGGGCTCTCTCTGGGCCTTTGGTTTTGAGGTGGACAGCTATTTACATAGGGCTTTCCATTTGGCTCCCCAAGATGGAAGTTACTGCTCTAAGCTTACACAACTAGGAAGGAAGAGAAATAGGAGGTAAATTCTATGTAATAGATGTTATTTCCTTTTTTCTGAGACATGAATCAGAACTGTCACACAGAGGCACAGAAGTTAGCAAAGTTTGCTTATAAAGTAATAGAATGTCATAAGAATCATAATTCCCAGAAGATCTAGAGCATGCTGATTTCCAGGCTAGGTCTCATTTTTTGTTGTCATTGTTCTTTTGAAACTGGCTCCGGTTATTGTTTGCCTCTTTATCTTTTAAATTGAGAGCAATTCTCAAATTAATATTCCCTACTTTTAAAATCCAGATTTTTTGGCTGCAAATGACTGAAAACTAATGCAAACTAGCTTGAGAAAAAAAATAAAAGGTAGGGGGAGTTGCTTGACGCACAAAAATTGCAGAGATGTGAAAAGTGTAGGTGGCCGTATAAAGACTGAAGCCAGGACTTTGTGCTGCTAACTTTAGCTTCTTACTACGTATCAGAATGTTCAGGCTCTGTTCCTAAGGAACCAACCTAAGCCAGAGCTTTGCAGCTCTTTGGCTAGCCCTTGTGTTATTTTTTCAAAGCTTCAAGTTAATAAGTTTATATTTGCAGTCTATATGTGAGGTTTTAATTTTGCTTTTATAATAATACAATATTTTACTGAATACATCATCTTGAAGCACTGTTTAGACATCATAGATTTTTTTCTATTTTTTTGTTTTATAAATACAAGAAACAGTTATAGATGAAAAAGTCTCATTTTCGAAGACTAGGATGAGTTTTCTAAGCTATGAGGAAAGATTTGGGCACTGAGAATTGTCTAGAAGTAAGTTAAGAGTATAATAAGAGGTGGCATTATAAGACTTAGAATCTTACAAATACTCCATTAACACCACAGTGAGATGACTAGAGAAAAAAGAAGTTCCTTCTTGATTTTTTTATAAAGGCTGAGTTGTAGTCTGGCTTTTATGTTGATCTGGCAACCAGCTTTTTCTTATAAAAATAGCCAACATGCTGGGTGGCAGACTTTTGATTTTATTTAATGGTAGTAATTTTCCCCAAGAATAGACTGAGGATTTGCCTGGATCCAAAAGTGAATTTCTTAATATTAGCTTTTGCTCTATAAAAGACATTAGGGAACATTTTGAAATTCTTCTCTCTAGCATCTATTTCTAATTAAATTTCATTACAGATCAATATCAGGAAGCATAGAATATCTTCTGACTTCAGAATTCCACCCTCCTCCTTAGAGGAGGTTCTCGGTTGCAAACAAATGACTGTGATTCCAAGTACAACGGGCATATGCAGAAGGATTTCAGGAGCTCAGAGTCCATAGAAAGCTGGCAGGGCAGGTCTGGAAAACAGGCAGGATCAGCATGTTCTTGACGATGAGCTTCAGGCTGCACAGCCAAAGTACTGCCACAAAAACGTTTGCTGCTGTGATGAATCCAGTGTCTCAAACCCCTTCTCCTTTGCGTTATGCTTGTACCAGCCTGACTGCTTGGGTTATTTACTCCCAAGCTATAACAAAGGATGAAATCAAGCACCTCTAGAACTTGGTTTATGAAATATGTGCTGGGATTTCTCTCCCACCCAGAAGACAGAGAAAAAGTTATCCAAAATTTGGATATTAATAATAAAAAGTACGGGTCCATTTTTTACCATTTATCTAATTTATTATTAGAAACATTAATATATTTTTGAAGCCATGTGCACGTGTGTGTGTGTGTGTGCATTCCTGTTGTGTGTCTGCTACAAAAATTGGGGTAACAGTGAGGCTGATAGAGTGAAAACTGAAGAGAGTCACAAAATATAAAAGGGCTTCCATTTACTGAATACCTATTATGTGCAGGTACATACTTGAGAATTATCCTTTCCATACATTATCTAATTTAATTTTCACAACAATTTATGAGTTTGTTGTTTTTCATTCCCATGTTTCAGTTGCAAATAATAAGACATAAAAATGTGATAACTTTCCTTAATCATATTCCTAGTAATTGATAGATCTTAGGCTTTTTTACACTGTAATGTTATGTGTCATATTGTTTCTCTCTTTCTAATTAGTTTACAAAAATATTTTAAAATCATTTCATTGAAAATATTGTACAAAAAAGAACAGATTGAGAATAGTAAAAAAAAATCACAGAAACAGCATTGGTCAGACAATTATAGTAATTAAGATTTCCTGTAGAATATTTAATGATTCATCAATGGATCAACGTTTGCAGGAGCTTGAGTATCTAGGGAACAAATTCTGCAAATCCCTTTAGAAGGCGACGAGAGCTTTCACTTGTTGACAGTCACCTGTTAAATGATTCCATTCATTATGATACCTGCAATTTAGAAAGTGTTTTTTTATAAAGGTGTGGCATCAATTTTATTTACTTCTGTGTGTCTTTTAGGCTTAGAACATGCACATCCAGTGA